ATATTCAGCACCAATGAATAATAAAATGTATGTCAGAAGAATGCAAAAGATTATACAGAAAATTCTCTTAAGATGACTGAAATGTTAGTATTTTAAGAACCCAAAGTGACTCAGAGTCTTAATTTTTTTGATAACAAACTGATTGGATTTTTTCTGCACCAGCTAATATAACCCCTGTGCTGCACATAAGTCCTTTCTGTGACACATAGTTGTTTTTATACAAAACAAAGATGCATCATCAAATAGTGCATAATCACCGGTTACAAAATTAGACGCTTGCTCTTGATGACTGATGTCAAGTACTGGAGCTAACATCAAATGCTTGAACTTACTCCCCTTCTTTCCAGGATCATTTGCAATTCTGCATCTCTCTTTCAGAAAATTTCGGAAAATCTCCTATCCTCTAACAAGGAAAGAAAGAGTACTGGAAATCTAATGTACCTGACTTTCTTCCAAACACAGGTCTTCTACTATGTATGAACTCTAAGGTTGTTTGAACTGTAAGAACAGCATTCTGCAGTCTCCCATAGTCTAGAGTTGGAACCTGGCTGGAACACAGTGTAGATCTTCTAGAAAACAATTCTCCATTTCCTTCTCAAGGATCCCAGAGAGAGGGAGCAATATGAGATATTGAGTCTTGTCCCTGCATAAAGCCAGGATATGACCAAGTTGCACATCTGAAATTAGCAGCTAGAAAATGCTTTTAACACCCATGGTTCACATGTGATCTTTGAAAAAATACATTCTTTCTCCTGCAACTGACCTAGAGGTTGGGGTGCAAACTTTCCTATTTTAATAAGTTATGAATCACGTTCACAGAATCTAACTTCATTCTTGCTGGGATAATGATAAACTAAGTTCAACGGAAGCTGAGGTCACTCAACACTGCCTACAAGAATATGAGACCATATTCTCAAGGCAGACTAAATGCAAACAGAACTAACTGTATCAAAGATTTACCAGTTAATTCCAACCTAATGAAATAATTTTTGCCATTGATAATAATTCTGGATGAATTTTAAATCTAAAGGCACACAAGTCTTAAAAAATACCATCAAACAGCTACTGATTTTGCCAATGTCGGTATACTATTTCTAAAACTGTGTTCCATAGACTCGGTAAATCAATTCCTTTGTTTTATTTTTATGCAGAATAAGAAGTATTTTCTCTCTTTTGTCCAAGTCAAGGATTAGGTCAAACAGACAGCCTCTCTGACTTACAAATTCTTGTTAAAATATATGTTGATCACTTATCTCTGTTACAACTTTTTACTCTATATAAATTATAARTTGACTATATTTATATTTAAATATAAATTCAATGTTGACTGTCATTAAATTTTCCCCAAGTTCAGATCACTGAAGATTGATCATTTATTTTTTTTGGAGTAGGAGTAGGGGCCAGGAAGAAACAATTGTAGAGTCTTCTCTACAATGCAGTATTTCCCAGGTTCTCACATATGTAATTAAAAGCCATTTTAATTTTTTAATTTCAGTTGCTATGGTGGCAGAAATGCAGCTCACAAAAAAAGAGGGCAATGTTTAAATGCTTAGTAAAACTTTGATTTTTTTTGTTCTCTTTTTCTTTTGAATCAGATGACAAGGACAATGTAATTTAAACTTCAGACTATCACTGTCTATACATCTTTTTTTTTTTTTTTTTAAATATGATTGCAATCTGACTAAATTACAGTGGTAAGCAACAGTTAGGGATCCAACCGCAAGCTCACAATGACAGTAGTAGATAATTGTTATCTCCATAAGTACCTCTGAGTTAAATCACTTGTTTTAATACAGATTAGTTTTGKATTAAAGTTACAGGGTTGGCATGAGAGACATGATAAATGTAGTCATGACAGAAAACAATTTTTAATTTAGTATACCCTATCAATCTAGATAGCCCATGAATATTTACCACTAATTCAGTAGGCTGGAACAGAATTTAAAAAAAAAAAAAAAAAAAGAGGGAAAAATATAGAGGGTTTGACCTAAACAAGGACTATGGAAAAAATATATATATATTCTCAGCAATTTGACTGAGAATAGATCTTAAAAAAAAAAAAAGCCTGAACTGGTTACAGCATTGGAAAATACATTCAGTGCATCATTGTAAAAACAAACCTTTTTAAAAAATGACATATATAAAAATAGTATGAATTCTTAATATGTATTTCTCTCTGCTGAATTTACCAGTAACTTCAAAGGTTGAAATAAAATCATTTACCGAAATTCAAAACAAACCTATTTGATCACACCACACTTCTCAGAAGGGATATAGTTTGCAGGGGCTTAGTGAGGGCACAGTATAAGCTGAAACAGGTTGTGTGTGCACTGAACCAAACTAAATGGTTTATAAAAAAGAAATGTTGTTTCCATTAATTTTGGGGGTAATCTCATTAAAAATGCCACCTGTCCAGAATGTAAGTGTTCAGGGTTTAATTCTTTTTCATATCTCAGTGTTCAAACACAAAACGGAGAACGTAGCGTCTTATAAGTATTAAAATACTGCACAAAATAGCTGATTCTGAAACCCTCATTACTGCAGCTATTTTTTCCAGCTGTATTTCAATGTCTGGCTGTTTTATCTTTTACTCTTCCTCTTGTTGTATTCAAAGAACTGATTTCCTGATAAGTTCAAAAATATATTTTTACCGCTCTTCTAACAAAATATTCATAAACTATAAATAGCACTTAAAATTCATATATGCTAAATAAATGCAATGCATAGGACGTACCTTTTAAAAATACAAACCCCCCTCAAAGAAAGAAGCAAAAAAATCACAAAAGAAACCACAGCAACTTAATTCTGCATACCAATAGTGATAAAATGTATGAGTCCATACAGACTTTTTACCTAGATCAAACACTTTCATATACTCAATTAAATTTAAATCCCATTATATAATGTGTACTAGTCTCATTTTATGCAATTTTCTAATTTAATGACTTGGTATTAGGCTTTCTCCTTTTCACACACATGGACTAATTTTCATGGTACTCAGCCCCATTGGGAAGTAGGTCATTAAAGTCAACTGAAGTGAGACAGAAACTTAATACCTAGACAGAGCTGTAGAACAGCCAGAAGCACAACAGTAATATAAGCCTGTTTTTCACTCATTATAATAGTATTAATGAATAATGAAGAAATATCTTGAATTGTGGGAAGCTGTCCTTTTCTCTAATATTTATCAATTTTGCTCCCTCATAAAAATACATTCATGTTTCAGTCTTCAGAGCAGAAGAATAAAGTCACCATCCCGTAAGAGTTGAATTTCTTTTAAAACAACAAAAATTTTTAAAAAATCAAAATATAAATAAATAACACAATTATAGTAACATACAGCTATTGAGGTAATGCTTGTTTTGCATGGGAATATTAAAATCCACATTACCTTTCTCAATGTGTATTCTTTTTGTCTCATGTCCCACATCATGACCAGCCAGATCGCCCTCTTTAGGACCAGGAAGGACATTAGGTGACAAACCCATCAGCATTTGGTTCATAGATAGCCCATTCTGATGGACAGCTGCTAGACACAAGCAGAGACAGGAACAAGATCAGYCATAACATTAACAGACACTTTTGTATTTACTGTATATGTTCTTACTCTGAATTATAGATGAATTCTAAAAACTCCAATGTCACTTTAATTAGAGTTATCAACAGCCAAACAGTGGGAAACTTTCCTCCTGTTATTTCTTTTATTTCAAGAGTGCATTTTAAAAAGAAGAGTTTAGTATCTTTGGACTCAATTAACAAGAACTGAAAATCAAAATGAAACATATGAAGATTAGAAGCCTCCATATTAGATATTTATCAATGGTTTTGTTGTTGTCTAGTATTGTTTACTTTTGTGATTTATTTAGTTGAAGAAAAACTCTTTCATATTATCATCCTTAATATGCAATCCTCAACTTCTTCAAATTAAGCATTGTGGAATTGTAAGAAAATTGTAAGAAAACACAACTCTTCAAAAATACACTGTGCGTCAACAGCTTTGCTGATTAGATGATTAGATAGCTTGAAAAGCTCTCAAGCACCTCTGAGAAATCCACATAAAGCTATACCCTATGTCTATTCTGSTAAAACTTGTATTTGCAAGAGGCTTATGCCATTCTTAGGAAAGCATTTTCCCATATGTACTTTTTATTTTTGCTGTATTCATTCTATTCTTGCCTACGCCACAAAAGAAGATGCAGTTAAGTGACATTAACAACAAAACAACAACAACAAAATTGGAGAGAGGAAAGGTTGACTTTTTAAAATAAATAAGTTATCCGATTGGCCCAGTATTTAAAAATTCTATTTCCTTAATCATTGCAAGAAACAGCAGGTACTGTTCCTATTCCTACCTGCTGGTAAAGAATCAGAGTGAAATACGTAGATTTAAAAGTGTTATGCCTTATCAGAAACAATAAAGATCTTTTCATTTAATTTACTTTTTAGTTCAGTGAACAGTGAAAATCTTCTTTAATATTTGTAAAATATATACAATTCAATCAGTTACCAAAAAAAAAAAAGAGCTGTTTTTTCAGAACTTTGTAAAATGGTATATATGGAAATATATTGTACATAGTATATAGTCATAGTATAATAGTATAATGACATGGGAAGTGATTCTAATTTGTACTGTGAATCATGTAAGTGATAAGAAAATAGAATTTTGAACTTGTCATAGTCAAGCTTCATTTACGGACACAGAATTTATCACTTTTTTTTTTTCCTTTGGAAAGCCATTTTTCATCACATAATAATAAAATATCTTTCATCTGAAAGTCAATGAATGAAGAGTTAGCTTCCTGAGTCTGGAAAGAGCCTAAAAGGAAAGAATCTCAAAAATGCATATGCTGCACCTAATTAATATGACTACAAATTTCATAGCTCTTTCTCAGCCAAATTTGKGTGACAAAACCTCGAGTTTCACCTATTGACAAATTTCATTGTGCAGTGATGTAGTACTTATAAGTACGGAAAATTGCATTACAGCAATTATGAAAGCAACTGAAAGATGTAAAATGAATTTAAGTTAATTACCATAAAATAATATATGTTAAAAACCTCCAATTCTGGGAGGTTTTTGTTGCACTCTGCAAATTCAGAGTCTTTTCCTTACATTTGCATACTGTACATGGAGTCTTGATAAAAATGGTAACACTCTGAAGTGCTATGGTTTAATCTCACTCCATACCGTGTGAGTTGTAGGGTGATAATATTCTTTGTATGCTATTTCTCACCATTACATGTTTTCTTATTTAAAAAAAGATTTAGAAAATATGCAGAGGTTTTAATTGATTTACCCTACTTTTTTTTTACCAAATAACTCTACCATGTCAAATGTTACCTATGAAGTCAGAATCAATTTAGAAATCAAACTAAAGAAACAGATTAAATAAAACTCAATTTCTTTAAAAAAATATTTACAGTGTATGTTTGCTTCTAAAAGTAATCTAGCAAATTGCTTTCTGGGTGCAATTCTGTATTTCATAGCTCGTATCTTTACATTTAATATGACATGATGGCAGTTTATATCAGTACCTGTTAATGTAGCATCAAATATTATGATAGTGTAAACTGGGAGCATAATGTTGGGAGATAGTTATTGCAGCTGAATTTCAGAACATGATGCATAGGAGATTTGAGGGCATTTTGAGTAGAAAAAAAAATCAAATTTGAAGTGGTGACAAGGAGAATAATGTGACTTACGGATTCTGTCTGAAGAGCTCTCAGTTCGTGCAGGAGAGCTGGACACACTGCTGCTTCGATGAGATGATGGATGGCTGCCAGGTCTTCGGCCCTCTTCAAGAGAAGGAGCAGGAGAAGGGCTGTCTGGAACACGTTCCTGTATCCCAGAAAAGTAATTTCAAAAAAATGCATGTTAGACAAAACACTCYTTGTGGCTTAAAAATATCATTTCTCTAAACTGAATTTCCCTCCTAAATCAAAATGTGATTTTTATTTTTTTCTTTTGTTGAGGTCTCCAGGTTGTGCAGACTATTCTCAAAGAAAACAAGTCTAGAAYTCTAGACCTTACATTTTACCATGCAATTTGAGAGCTACTCACCTCATCAGGCTTTTAAACTGCCTTCTGAACTACCTATAAAAATAAGTTTTGTTTTACTTCATTATTTTTCTCACTTGTATCAGCATGCTATCAAATATAGGAACATGTATTTTGTTTGCTAGCTTAGAAATATTGGCCTAGTATTTCTAATATGGGTAGAGGAATGATTTATTCCTGTACATTCCTGTTTCCCAACATTTTCTTTTCAAAAAGAAAATCCTCTTGAAAAGCAAGGATGATGAAGAAATTAATTATAATGAGGCCCAAATGTCTATGTCTGCACTACAGAGCACAAACTTGGAATAAACCATGTTTATTCTAGGAGCATTTGTCATCACTAGTTATGCAGGAGGCATTCCATCCACTCACATTTTTCAATTCAAGGGAAAGCTCAGCAAGCCTGTTGGGAAGAGCTACAACAAACTTCAAGATGTCCCTTGAATACTAAGGACATGAGAACCATGGTGCTTTTAAATGATCTGGTCCTGCTATGTGAAAACTATTGAGATGTAGCAGAAATAGCTGATATTTACATGGAATTTGGATAGAAATACCAATGTTCCAAAACAAGAGGAAATGGCCTCAAGTTGCACCAGGGGAGGTTCAGTTTAGATGTTAGGAAGAGCTCCTACACAGAAAGAGTAGTCAGGCATTGAAACGGGCTGCCCAGGCAAGTGGTGGAGTCATTGTCCCTGGCAGTGTCCAAGAAACGGGTATACGARGTGCTTAGAGACATGCTTCAGTAGGCATGGTGTTGGAAAGTTTATGGTTAGATTTGATGATCTTAAAGATCTTTTCTAACCATAACAATTCTACGACTCCATAAATGACAAACAGAGGAAGATGAGTCTGACTGTTGTACAATAGTGCTTTCTAGAAAATTCTTTGTCTTTCCTTGCATTTTCCTTGCTACTGCTTGTTTGCAAGAGTCTACCTCTTTGTTAGGTAGGGTATGAGTTAGGTTGTAATGGTCCAATCGTCATGAAAGTAAATAATTCCTACAGGGAAAATCTGCTGGGAGGGACTTCTTAAGACAAGGTGGATTCTGTTTTGTTTTGACATTGTTTTCATGCTGTCTGAATTCTGAATAATAATAATAATAATAATAATAATAATAATAATAATAATAATAATAATAATAAATTTACTAAAAACTGTACAACATGCTTTTGTCTTCATGCAATAGAAAAAATCAATTTGCATGGGTTTAAAGTACATATGAAAACTTAATGTCTTAAATGTTTTTACCTTTTTTGAAAAGAACATTCCTTTTCCTTACATTGCGTATTGATTATGCAGTAATACTTATTCTACAGGCAAAATAGCTGGATGAATATTTATTTTGCTAAATGTATTCCTATGAAACTTAGCAACACAATTATCTATAATAATTGATAGATTTGTTCCAGGAAAACTTTATGATAAATGTTTGCTAAGATTAAGTTTGTGATTGCAAAGGGATTCAATGGTTCTATTAATGGAGTGGGTGAAGACCTTTCAGAAAAATGTAACAAGACATTTAAGTGGATTCTCCTTTAATAGTCTCGGGTTTTTAAGTCAAAAACATTGATGAGGACAATTTAATGGCGACATAGCTCTAGGCTTTTTATGAGTTTGGTTGTGCTTATATGTCCATGAACTAGGTATTCAAGAGGAGGATTAGAAGGCAGATGTTTTCAGAATGTAGAATATTTATTTCTTTAGATTTAGTAGGATTTAAGCATGCACTGCGTACAGATTTGGTATAAATTGGAACACAGTATATTTAATCACTTATTTAATATAATTTCACTGTTTGGCATACAATGTATTGTTCTTAGAAGGGTTTCATTAAAATGAAATCCAGTGAGCATATAAGATTTGAATACAGAGCTGCAGAGTAAATTAATTTATTTAAACAGCTTAATTTGTTTATCCTATTTATTTATGTGTGCTTTTACAGCATGTATTATGAGATGGATAGAGAAAAAGGAATGCACAGGACAACAAAATACAATTACTGAACAAACAAAAGAGATAATGAGTTTTATTCCCATATAATATGACATAGCAGACAAACTCTACAAGTAAACTATATACGCTGACTTTATCAATTCATTTGTAAAATACCCTTTAACCCCAAAAAAACAAGGTATTGAACTATGCAGGAGTGGGGGAGTAATTAATTTAATACCTTAGCTCATTTCTTTTTAGAACTCTTGCTTCATAATTCTACCAATCAGTAACACAGTTTATAGCAATTACTTGTCTTTATCAAAAATAGCTGTAATAATAAATGGAAATTCTACTAATAATAAATTGAAATACTCTGTAGCTCTAAAAAGTCAGAGTGATAAACTAATGGTGCTGGCATATCAATATGTCTGTCTCCCTTACTAGAGATTTTGTGAAGAAAGGATGGATTTTGTCTGTGATAAAATATTAACTTTACCACTTTAGCACTTCAGAAGTGCTTTATTTTAAACATTTTCAAAAAAGGAAATGAGCATGTTCAGTGAATACTCAGATGATCAAAGCTATTCTATGACTTCTGTAAAATCTCACTTTTGTGTAAATCTACATGAGATACTATAGAAACATATTTTACTGAGTTATAATTTCATCTGCTGTTTATATTTTTTCCTAAAACTTGTCCACTTCTTCTGACAAACTCAATTTCACCTAAATAAAGATATCTCTAGAGAACCTGAGGTTAGTTTGCACAGTAATTATGTTAGATTTCTCTTGGCAAACAAGTACAAAAGTTAAGAAGCTACATGCTTTGCCAAAATTAAGCAAAGAAGTGGAAATTGTGCAAGATTTAATTTGAAGTTGACATACATGAATATAGGTATCTAAATATAGATTTTTAACATGTGAGATAGAGAGCCAACTTCAGAGACACCTAAATTTAGGGTGCTAGCTGCAGGCATGGTCACTTGCAGGCAGATATCTCCCATTCTGGTCATTTAAGACRTGATCAATAAAAACAATGGAGCACAGAAAATGATATGCTTCACTCTTTATATAAGAGTTAAGGTCTTAGTTTAGCTGACTGTACAATATTCAGTATCATTTGAGATATTAAATAGTCTTGAAACATCCATACAAGTTTAACAGACAAGGCCTACAAATGACCTGCTTCCTTCTGGTGTGACAGCAGTAGGTTAAATTTATTACTCTAGATACTGGCTAGTGAACAGAATAAACTCCATTAACAATATTTAGTAGAAAACAAGAAGTAGAAAATTATTTTTCATGTGGAAAATATAACCCCTGCTAGCTATCTCTTTTCATCAGCTTTCTGCTTCCATATTTGTTTCTATTTGTTTTACCAGCAAAAACATAGCATGAAAAATTGGAGCATATGCAACAATTAAGATATGGTTGGCCAATTTTTCAAAATAGCTTTCAATTAGGTATCAAAACAGGAGACTTCATTAAGCAAATGAAAACATACTCCTACCAGTCAAATTTGGAGTATTCTGTATTTTGATCTCTTTAAAATTGGATCCAATTTGCAAATTCTAAGCATTTAAGAATCTGATATTTAACTCTTCCAAAAAAATATTCTTCCCATGTATTGAATTTTTACTGCAATGCCCTTTATTGTCCTTTTATTTCATTGACATTAGAAATTTAAGATCCCCTATTTTTGTTCCACACCTTTGTTCTATACTTTCATAATTCCACATGAGTATCTCCAATTAAAACAGATAAGTTTGATGTACTTTACATTTTTCCAACAGCTCTTATATAGATGTAAAGCCCATTCTGTAAGATCTCCTCTAAAAAGTTTAAGAACTTCAAGAATTCTCTGAACTGTAATGGTATCTAGAAGACCCTAAAAACAATCTTTTCTATACCATACATGTCTTTCTCCTCTCCATAGGTCATAAAGCTAGTTATCATTCTCTTTTTGCCTCTTTTTATCTCTGCTCTAGCAGTACATTTCCGTTGTTTGAAAATTACCTCACAACCAAGTGTCTTCCTCAAAAGCCTATCATAAGGCAGCTTTGATGGGGTTCGGCCTACATCACTTTACAAGAGAGAACATTAATTTTTCTCCTCTTAGGAAGACAGTCACAGAAGTGACAATTTCTAGGTTCTCACCACTACAGTCTTTCCATATATATGCATATATTTTATTCTGTTTCTTAGTGAGACAATTCCAGAATCATGCAGACAAAATTTAAAAATGTCTACCTGTTTTTCATAGGCAGGCTCCATCTTCTGTATACCTCTCCCTTACAAATATTTTTAGCTCTAGCTTTTTCTTCCAGTTTAGTTCATTTCTTCATAAGACTCATCTCTTGTACTTAGTCATCTTTTAGTCTTAGGGATACAGATTCACAGATTCACAGAATATTTAAGGTTGGAAGGGACCTCTAGACATCATCTAGTTCAACCTTCCTGCTCAAGCAGGCACACCTACAGCATGTGGCACAGGGTGGCATCCAGGCGGGTTTTGAAGACCTCCAGAGTAGGAGACTCCACAACCTCCCTGGGCAGCCTGTTCCACTGCTCTGTCACCCTAACAGTAAAGAAGTTSCTCCTCACCTGGAGACGGAACTTCTTATGCTTCAGCTTGTGGCCATTACCCCTCGTCCTGTCGCTGGCCACCAGTGAGAACAGCCTGTCCCCTTCCTCCCTGCATTCTCCCTTCCTGAACTTGTACATATTAATCATATCCCCTCTGAGCCCTCTCTTCTCCAGAGAAAACAGGCCCAGCTCACTCAGCCTCTCTTCATACGAGAGATGTTCCATTCCCTTAATCATCCTGGTTGCCCTTCTCTGGA